TACCATAGCAATGTAGACTCGTCCCTTGCAAACGAGGCTGGGGTCACGATGAAGCCACATGTGACGAAGGTTAGCGAAAGCGACTCAAGGTTTGGAGAAACGCAGAGAGATCTCATCTTTCAGACCGCCAATACTAAGACAGCTCACAAGACAAATGAATTTGTCGACCGCTTCCAGCGGATGCCCCGAAATTGTGAGAGAAGGACATGCGCTTGGCCCGTCCTGTACTAGTACTTAACATTTGGTAGGGGCACTGGTCAACCCAAATTGAGAGGCGGACATCACCAGTCTGAGCAGCACATGCTCGGCGCCTTTGGAGGACTCCCAGATCACAATGATGCCATCGGCGTACTCTCAGTCCTGAAAGTTGTCACCAGGGAATAGTTCCACACCGCAGGACTCAGAGTTATCCAGGGCAGTAACCAAGATCTCTTCCATGGCGAAGTTGAACGAGGATGGAGAGGTTGGTCAACCTTGTCTAACACCGCTAGGTATATGAAAGGGGCGCAAAGTCTCTGTACACTCGCACGAGGACCAAAGTTTGACGGTAAATGGCACGAAGAATGCTGATATACTTCTCAAGTACTCCCCTCTTTAGTAAACAGTCCCAAAGAGCCAATGTCAACAGAGTCAAACGCGGCTCGAATGTCCAAGTATATGACTATAGTTGATCAGCTGAACGTATGGCGATGTTAAAGTATCTGGCAGATCGTAAAGATGTGTTTGACATAATTGCCACTTGGGCGAAATGCAGCTTATTGTTCACACAGGGGCTGTTCCCGTACGTAACTGAGCCTCTGCAAGAGTAGGGCAGCGAGAAGTTTGGATGCGACACGAATGCGATTGATGCCACGATGGTTGGAGCAAATGGTCCGGTCTCCTTTTTGGTTAACAGGTACACCATCCGTTAAATTCTAGTCGTATGGAATGGTTTCAGTAGTCCAAATCTGATGGAAGAGATTTCAGTTTTCGAGTGAGAGCCGGACCCCAATATTTGAAGAGGACAGGAGGAGGTTCATCTGGGTCAGGTGACTTGCAGCGCTTCGGTAGGCGAAGCTCATAGGAAACCTCAGCTTCAGTCGGTGGAGAAACATCCACACACCAGGGAGCACTGTGAACCCCAAAAGCTGGACTCAGTTGCGCTAGAGGCCAGCTGAACTGATTTTCAAAGTGTTCTGCCCATCGTACCGGACGACGGTGACGACTGTGGATTAGTTCACCGTCATTTTCACGCAAAACCTCACTTGTTGTTGGCCTTCTGCCTCCCATAGAGCGAATAAGTTGGAAGAGTTTGCGGGAGTTTCCTAATGAGACTGCTCGCTCCATCTCAACGACGCGCTGTGTCCACCAAACTTCGCGATCCTTCCTAAGGAGCTGTCTGCGCTCAGCACCTGTGGTAGTGCGTTGTGCTCAGTTCCGATGGGAATTGTTAGACGACTTTCCATTAATGGGGGGACTATGCGGAGATTTATTGACTAGCAGCTCGTCTAGTGCAGCCACAGATCAGGGTAGCGGACTTTCGTATGTCGCTCTGGATCTGTGCACAGTGTGTCTCAACATCAGAGGATAGAGGACGTAGGTTGGAGGCTAATGTGTTCTGAATTGCGCTGAGAAAATTTGGAGCGGCTTGTTGTCTTCGTCAAACCATTTTCGGCGACTCGGTTGGGTGTCTCCAAAGTGCAGAACGAACTTAGCACACACACGACCGCATGATCCGAAGTCAGGTAAGTGTTTTAAACTGACTTGCAGTCCGTTATGCCGCCTCGCCCACAGTGACTAACAGCGATGTCAATCTGCGTCCAACCCTGACCAGGCGTCGGAGGTCACCAGGTGACTCCTTGGCGCCAGGAACGTCGGAAATTGGCGCTGGTAAGGAACAAGCCATGGTCGGCGCACAGTTGAAGCAATCGACCGGCGTTGTCCGTCCTGCGAGTACCGTGGCTGTGTTGATCCCCAGATTCGCCCTCATGAACCTCTAGTCTACCGATCTGCGCATCTAGGTCTCCGGCAAGTATTCACGATGTCCGTGCGGCGTTCTTTTGCGGAGGAGGTCGGTGAGTTGGCGCATAGAACTCGTCTTTAGCTTCGTCCGGGCTGCAGTCCGTAAGAACCTACGCCGCCACAACGAATAAGCAGCGCCTACCGGTCCCGTAGCTGGAAGGTCGCACTGAGCTTTCAAGCGGACTGCACAAAGACGGCTGTTGACCAGGAACCAGTCAATGAGCGCTGCCTCAGCACGCGCGTTTAACGCAACTCCTACGCCGGCGCAATCAAGGACTGCCGCTGTTACATCTCCAGATACGCGCAAGGTAAAAGTGTAATTGGAGAGCAACCACAGCGTTGTGCTGGAGTCATATAAACGGGTTTCGGTTAGGCAGCAAACGTCGATTGAGAGGGCTTCCAAGGTTCGCGCAAGAGCAGCTTGTGAATAAATCTGCATGAGCGTTCGAACATTTAACGTAGCTAGCTTGAAGAGCGAGCGGGGTGCAATAAAAACCTTGCTGTTTGTATTGGGATGTGTGTGATCAGTTTTGTGCGGTTCATTGATGAGGCCAAAGGTACCGTTTTTATTTGCAATGCACTTTGAGAGATTAGAAATTGGAGGGGGTTGCCACGAACAGCTCAACCGAGCGTATGATGCAGTATGAATAGTGTGCTCCTTTGGTAGTAAATTGATTTTGATCGCTGCACAGACTGTTTTTATGCTCAATCTCACTATTCCACATCACGGACGTCCCGATTTGATTGTTAGGAAGACCCCTCAAATGTTTCATTGCTTTTCTCCCTAAAGAGTGACCGATGTTGGCTTGCTTTGCACCTCTTGAAGAAATGAGAACTGGAGGTATGCGAGTGGGAGTTACCATCTTTTCTGCACTGGATGATATATTTCCAATGAACGTATCATTCATGGGCGCGTACCCTCATACGACGCCACCACTTAGTCATAATAAATCCAAGCAACCACAAATACGACGTATACTGGGGGGTGAAACGCGCCTGCCTCTTGCTTATATCAAAAAAATGTAACGGCGCTTCGCTACCGCGCGACCACCACCAGTCGCACGCGGGCTGAGTATACCGCGAGGACGCCCACCCCTACGCGGATTCGAACCGGGGACCTTGGTGGTTGAAAAGCAAACGTGCAGACCACTCGGCCACCGACCGGCTTGGTCGGTACCCACTAGCTATTCTCCTTTGTAAAAATGGAAGTGGTACACCATGTTTGCGTACATTCCTTCGACTTCCTTCCTTTTCTAAATGTTCCTATTCTTCCATACTGTTGTATATTTAAACCCCTTTTTCCTCGATTTATTTACCAGTCGCTTTACTTTTATGAACGAGGGATTCCAATACCCAGTAAGACTAAGTATGACATTCTGTTACTCCACCTAGAGGTTCTGATGTCTCCTATCCATAGGAACCCGTTGTTTTTCCCTTTAGTATGCCAGTAATTTCTACTGATTGTTGCATCGGTAGTCTAATGAAACTCTGACCATCGGATACTTTCCCCAGATTCTCGCGTTAACCCATCTTTTCTACCCTCGATGTGCACCGTTTTTGCAATACATGCACACTTCTAGTCGTCCACACTATCATCTTTCGATAAACTGGCAGCTTGATTCATATTCCTCGATTGTGGCTGCGTTGTTTCAACCTTTCTCTTGCACACCGTTATCCACAGTTACGACGTCGTGGTTGACTGCACAGACAACCTTGCCACCCGTTACCTTGTCAATGACGCTTGTGCAGTCTGTGGTTGTAAACCACTAGTCAGTGGAAGCGCTTTGCGTTTAGAAGGTCAAATGACTGTCTATCTGGCTGACCGCATGCGCACAAAGGAAGAAGTGGACAGCAATCGCCCACTACCCCAATCCAATCGCGCTCCGTGTTTCCGATGCCTTTTTCCTGTTCCACCGCCCCCGACCAGTGTCCAAGGCTGCTCGGAAGCTGGAGTTTTCGGAGTCGGTAGGTGGCTTTTGTGATCGGATTTTGTTAACATCGGCACTGCTTCATAGACTTCCGTTGCTTTTCTCTTTCCCTCACTCACCTTTCTCGATGCAAGGCCATGCCTTGGTGTAGTCCAGCGGTTTGTGCACCCATTCGATCCGTTGAGCCATGCTCCCGAGTATCCTCAGTAATACTTTTGTACATTGCTCAGTAGTATGATCTTAAACAAGTTTATTTGCGCGGTCCTCTGGCTCATGAGCTGGAACTGGAGTTCTATCCGCCTCCGTAAAAATGTGGACGGTTGCTATGTTCTCAATACCTGCTTTTGGTTGAACATCCTAATCGTTCTCTTAGCTATATTTGAGCACCGTGATCCATGCACAAACATGTCTTTCAGCCCTCAGCCTACTCTCGCATCGATCGTCGTTCTATTTCAAAATGGTCACCTCATGTGCTGCATACAGCAAGGGGGCTAGGCAAAACAGGCTATTGCCATCGTCTCCTTTCTTTTCTACTCGTTTCGTATGCACCTCTCCAGATCGCAACTGCCTACCTTTCTTGTGTACTCCTTGGTGCATGTGGTAGTGACTGCAGTTTTTTCATCTGTAACTATGTCATCACGGTATCCAGTAGTTTCCTTATCCGTGACACGCTGCGCAGCTTCCTTGACTGCGTTCAATGTCCGTACTCTAAGGAGGGTCAACACGCCGCACTCGCATGCACTCTGGATGCCTTGGACGTCAACCTCCTGGTTACATGGAGGGGTCAGCATGCGTTAATTAACCCATGCTGAAACCAGAATTCATACCTGTATGGTAGCGCATCACTAGAGCAAAGTGCAGCTTTACTTAATAAATTAATAAATAATGTGTCAGCTGTACGCCGTAACGGCGCTTCTCTGCCGCGCAACCATCACCAGTCGCGCGCGGGTTGAGTATACCGCGAGGACGCCCACCCCTACGCGGATTCGAACCGGTGACCTTATGGTTGCAAAGCAAACGTGCAGACCACTCGACCACCGGCCGGCGGCTTTACTTGGTGATGTCATTCGTAAAAGCAGTTTGTACTTATCTATTCCGTTCCGTTTTATTTTCTTGCCTTTAAGTTCCCGGAATTATCGGCACTATGCAAGCTGCAGAAGTGCTCAAACTCCTCACTGGTGTTGGAGGTGAGTGTCGCGATTTTAGATTCTTCTCTTTCACGGTTCTCCCTCGTTCACACCCTACTCGCTTAACTGCGCACCCGGATTTTTTTTCTTAGCCAAATGAAGCCCACTTTGTGTGGCTCTTTTGATCGAATTATCGGTTTTCGTGAGCTTCAGTTACATGATAATCTTCTCAGCGTTTATCTTGGCCTGGACACAGCTAGGGAGGCTTTAATGGATAACTCATTCACAAATGACGGTGCACTTTCTCTCACTATCCAAAGCTGTTCATAGTGGCCGGCTTCTTGTCTTGGATATGGAGCGCAACCTTACACGAACGGTGGTTCTTCGTGATCCGCGCCCCGATTGCGCAGTTTGTGGCGTCAAATCGCAAGCCACTCCGGAAACTGTGAGATCAACGGATTACACCGAGTTTTGTGGCGCCCCGGATCATGACAAGGTGAGCGATTATTCATCTTCTTTCCTGTCATTTATCAGAGTAACTTCCACTAAGGAATTTATTGTGCTCCGTCTCAATATGACACGCTCCTTGGCACTCTATTTCAGCCATAAGACAGTTCCCTGCACCACTCTTCCTATTCAACTTTATGTATGACATTGGAAATCACTGGACATTTGCGAGCGCAGTAGCGTCGAGCTGCTGCCGATGGGGGGGGGGGAGCGATTCCGCGGTTCGCAGTGTTTTGATTACATCATCATAGTTTGTGGTTCCTCTCCGACCACCCAAACTCTTCCACCTAAGGTGAAATTGTTGGCCTTTCATTTCCGAATAAATTTCGAGCATCAATTTGCAAGGCTTCCTTTTTCGGTTTATCCTTTGTACGTTATCTATAAACTCGACTACCTTGGCGATAATGTTTTAATGGACGAATCCTCTGCTTCACCCTAAGGCTCGGAATGCCTTCACCAATCTCTGTCGACGTATATATATATATATATATATATATATATATTATATATATATATATATATATATATATATATATATATATATATATATATATGGTTGGCGGCATCTGCTTCCGTATTAGCCTGTCACTGTGGCCAGCCACAGGACGCCTGCGTCTACAAAGGGACAATGGGTGGCTTGCGCTGCACCACCCACAGCTCCAACCACACACCCCATCTCCATTGTAAACCCGAAGGAATAAGACCGGGAGGCATGTGGATGGGAGCCACGTTTTATCAACGGTGCCGGCCCACACTACTTCACATGCAAACACAAGCACGCTGTATTTGGGGAATCAAGCGCACATAATGCGGTGGCTGGACCGTAGTCCGCTCCACACTGTGTGCATGGAACCACTCTTTGATCCTAACACGGCAACAAGGACCGTGCACCTCGTCCCCTCCAGCAGCGAACAACTGTCTCCTGGAGCCAGGATGGGTAATAGACAGGTAGGCACCTTGTCAACATGCACATCAAGCGCAGCCACATCGGGGATATCAAGCAACAGCCAATCACTTGAAACGACATGATGAAATAAAATAAATCGAATTATGCATACAGATACGGTGGTATAACTCTTCCCTAAATGAGCATATGAAGTAGGTTGGTTAGCAATAAATTCGCGATAAGTACAAAGTGTCCAGAGGTTACTCAAAAATGCTACAAACGCAATAAAGTTAACGAAGATAACCCCAGTTAACATAAGCAACGTGGCCAGTTAATAGAAGGTTATTCGGGTTGGCAGAGGAAACCAAATAAAGTGGAATGAAGTTTATCCAGCTTAAAAAGACCTAGTTTAAGTGTAAGTTGGTTTAGCCCAACTGCGGTGAAGAAGCATCATGGATGCAACATCAGCCTCAGCATATTGCAGATATATATATATATATATATATATATATATATATATATATATATATATATATTCCGCTCCATGGCTGCGAGATTTGGCCTCTACGCAAAAATAAGTAAACTGTATATTCTTGTTTTCGTCGAGACACACTGTTACGGCATGTTCAGGTAATTAAAAACATTTTCTAGCGCAACGATCGCGAGCGATCCACAAGTCGACTTTCACTTTTGACAGGGCCAATTGTTGGTTGTTGTATCAGTGCATTATCTGATTCTACAAAAGGTTTCCTTATCGGTATTGGTAGGCCCCTTGATAATACCAATATGGAACTCTTAAAAGGATATTTTTGGATAATAGAAAGATGGTCATATTATAAGTATTAGTTATAGTAGCTATGTGTGACTTTTCTATAGCGCGTGTCGGTTTTTTCACCCAGGCATACTCGGAGGCTGTCTATTTCGGTCATTGCTTCCTTTACTGGCAGCATCACTTTAGCAATAATAACGTTTGTGGACGCATTTTCAAGCCAAACTGACCGTCGAGCTGCATAATCTCACTGCGTAGTCTTCCGCGGCTTCGGCACGTGCTTCGTTCGGCAGCCCACTGGTTATTTCATCTTTCCCCAACCCTCCTCTTTGAGCGCTCTTCAATCGACGGGAACCGAAAACAAGGTGACCGAAGTGCAAAGGCGCCAACTTCAAATTTGGTCGGAGCTTAACAGTGTTGTGTACTAGACGAGGTCCGGTGAATATCACTACAATCTCGGATCGTATCCCTATTTCGCAGGTCTTTTGTCATTCTCTGACCCGCGTGCACATTAACACACACACGTCACTAACGACTCACGCTGTCCACATGTTTTACATGTATTTTGCCTCCTGTTTTCATTTACTTTGTCCCCATCAGCCGTCATCCGTTAATCTGGAGCGCTTCCATAATCGGATTACCGTGCAAGTATGTTTACTATGACGTTTTGGTGAAGGAGAGTCCCCTAGCGTCAGGATTCTCTATATTGCTTTCGTATTTTTCAGCAACTTCACTCTTTGATTCAGTCAAACGAACCCTACCTACTGATTGATATCCGACCTCAGGTTGAAGTGGATCTCTGCCGTCTTGCTCCTTGTATTGGTGAGTTTTTATTGTCAGATTTACGACCATTGATTTGCTGCCCGACGACGTTATGTCATTGGTCGCTGTCCGTTTACATTGTTCTATTATCCGAGATTTCCTAACAGGGCGGTCATGGTTCGGTAGATTTCATTATGAACGAGGCAGAAAGTAAACTTGCAAAGTTTGATGTCCACGCTTACTCCTATTCTGAGTCTACGACCCATCGGTTGTCCATCCAACAAGTCTTGCTCCTTAATTCACTCTCGTTTATTCGATCATTTCGCTTGCTTTGCTCCTTGAATCTCCCTGGATACTGAGGGATCTTGAGATCCTTCATCTATAAAGTTTCGATTTCTTTCGTGTCTCCGATCCAAATGCGGTGAAACGTTAGCTTATATCACTGTCCGCTTTAGCAGCCTCCATTCGTTCTTGAAGCAGATCAATCATCCATGTGGTGTGAAAACGAAATTGCAAACATCTCTGGCCGACGATATGCAGAGCAGAGTGTATCTGAAGTGCGAATCTGTATGTGAATAGAATTTCCACCCAACGCATGTTTCAAACCTATTGCGAGATTCCCCAGTACAGATGGGGTCATATTATGTGCACATTGTCATCTTCCGTGGTACACTTCATTACAGCGTTTCCATTTCAAACGGTTCTCCGTGACTCTGTTCTCGCCCAAATCCAATCGGCCTTGGATGAGAAGCTGTCTCAATCACCCAAGCGTCCGGTGCCCAGTGAGTTGATGGCCCAACTTGTCGTAGTCTTCAAGTTCTGCATCTATCATACAGGCTCTTTTGCACACTTGTCTGTGACATTACGTCGTCAAAGCCCACAGCCAGCCTGCTGCTACTGGGAAGTAGCTGTGTAACCTAGCGTCAGTGCCAGATGGTAGTCTCTTCTTTAGTTTGTACAAATATGAGCGATTTTAGCATCTTCGTTAAGGCTGATTATGTTTGTCCAGTATGCACACTCGAACACCATCTGCGAGGTAGTGGCTTATTGTGACGCGAAGCAGTGAAAGCCGCAAGGAAGCTGTCTCGCTGATATCGCCTTATATTTGAACGATAGCCAGCTGTTTGTGACGGTGTTTTTGACCCAAGGTGTAAGCGTCTTGACCATAAATGTCTGTTACGGCACTAAACGTTTTACGCTAGGTCCCCTTCTTTTCCTGTTATTATTCTTCGTTCCGTTAGTCGCCAGGGTTATATGTCATCGGAGCGTCAGTCCATATGGCTTATATAGTGCTGTTGATGATGCTGATGACACTCGAACATCTACGGTACACACTTTGTCAACCAGCTTGCATGCCATTTCTTATTCCCGTCTTATTCTCAAATGTTGCTACCTTATTCACTTTCAGTTGTACTTCTGTGCCACCGAGGGAATAAGTCGCGTATCGCCGCCACCCAGCTGGCAAGCGCCCTTCTCTCGTTTCGCCTTCGTAATTCCCGGACGCAACTGGACTCCATGGACACAGATGCCGTCTTGATCCCCAGCGACCTAGCAGAGGAGGGGACGGACTTCGTAGTGTGCGATGTTGCCGGTGGTCTGGCGGCGTGGGCAACAGAGATCGATCCGAATTTTCCCGTGTATTAATCCGTGATACCATAACGCAGCAGCACATAAGACGCATGCATTGTACATAACGCTTCGTTTGATTGTGCGTACTTTCTGCAAGAACATGGTTTTGTCTGCCGGTACTTTTATTTCAATGAGTCAATATCTTGAGTGCACGAATTCTTCTTTTGCTGTTCCGTGAAATAGGATGGGCCTGTTCTAGTTGGTCGATTATAATTTAAGCGCTGAAATGCTATGGAACCGTTCACCCTACTGCGCCTATTACCATGCTAACAATACTCAACAAAATATTAAAGCAAATTGAGGAAGAAAAAAGACACCAAAGTCAATGACATTCTGGTGGAAAGAGCTGGAGAACTGGAGCATAGAAACAAAACGTCTAGCGCAGAAGGCATCACTGACGTGCAGATTGTGTTGCCTTTCAAACTAGAATGCTTCGGACCTCACATCCAAGAACAGTGCGCGCACTTACCCTGGGGACTTTCGGTTAATTTCTTTGCGTATTTTCGGCATGTCGTAGATGTTCTCCGACTGGATGCAACGATGGTAAAGATCTCACCCGTTTACCTTGTTCTTTTATCCGCGATTTCCTAACATAGCGGTCATGGTTCGGTAGATTTCATTATGAACGAGGCAGAAAGTAAACTTGCAAAGTTTGATGTCCACGCTTACTCCTATTCTGAGTCTACGACCCATCGGTTGTCCATCCAACAAGTCTTGCTCCTTAATTCACTCTCGTTTATTCGATCATTTCGCTTGCTTTGCTCCTTGAATCTCCCTGGATACTGAGGGATCTTGAGATCCTTCATCTATAAAGTTTCGATTTCTTTCGTGTCTCCGATCCAAATGCGGTGAAACGTTAGCTTATATCACTGTCCGCTTTAGCAGCCTCCATTCGTTCTTGAAGCAGATCAATCATCCATGTGGTGTGAAAACGAAATTGCAAACATCTCTGGCCGACGATATGCAGAGCAGAGTGTATCTGAAGTGCGAATCTGTATGTGAATAGAATTTCCACCCAACGCATGTTTCAAACCTATTGCGAGATTCCCCAGTACAGATGGGGTCATATTATGTGCACATTGTCATCTTCCGTGGTACACTTCATTACAGCGTTTCCATTTCAAACGGTTCTCCGTGACTCTGTTCTCGCCCAAATCCAATCGGCCTTGGATGAGAAGCTGTCTCAATCACCCAAGCGTCCGGTGCCCAGTGAGTTGATGGCCCAACTTGTCGTAGTCTTCAAGTTCTGCATCTATCATACAGGCTCTTTTGCACACTTGTCTGTGACATTACGTCGTCAAAGCCCACAGCCAGCCTGCTGCTACTGGGAAGTAGCTGTGTAACCTAGCGTCAGTGCCAGATGGTAGTCTCTTCTTTAGTTTGTACAAATATGAGCGATTTTAGCATCTTCGTTAAGGCTGATTATGTTTGTCCAGTATGCACACTCGAACACCATCTGCGAGGTAGTGGCTTATTGTGACGCGAAGCAGTGAAAGCCGCAAGGAAGCTGTCTCGCTGATATCGCCTTATATTTGAACGATAGCCAGCTGTTTGTGACGGTGTTTTTGACCCAAGGTGTAAGCGTCTTGACCATAAATGTCTGTTACGGCACTAAACGTTTTACGCTAGGTCCCCTTCTTTTCCTGTTATTATTCTTCGTTCCGTTAGTCGCCAGGGTTATATGTCATCGGAGCGTCAGTCCATATGGCTTATATAGTGCTGTTGATGATGCTGATGACACTCGAACATCTACGGTACACACTTTGTCAACCAGCTTGCATGCCATTTCTTATTCCCGTCTTATTCTCAAATGTTGCTACCTTATTCACTTTCAGTTGTACTTCTGTGCCACCGAGGGAATAAGTCGCGTATCGCCGCCACCCAGCTGGCAAGCGCCCTTCTCTCGTTTCGCCTTCGTAATTCCCGGACGCAACTGGACTCCATGGACACAGATGCCGTCTTGATCCCCAGCGACCTAGCAGAGGAGGGGACGGACTTCGTAGTGTGCGATGTTGCCGGTGGTCTGGCGGCGTGGGCAACAGAGATCGATCCGAATTTTCCCGTGTATTAATCCGTGATACCATAACGCAGCAGCACATAAGACGCATGCATTGTACATAACGCTTCGTTTGATTGTGCGTACTTTCTGCAAGAACATGGTTTTGTCTGCCGGTACTTTTATTTCAATGAGTCAATATCTTGAGTGCACGAATTCTTCTTTTGCTGTTCCGTGAAATAGGATGGGCCTGTTCTAGTTGGTCGATTATAATTTAAGCGCTGAAATGCTATGGAACCGTTCACCCTACTGCGCCTATTACCATGCTAACAATACTCAACAAAATATTAAAGCAAATTGAGGAAGAAAAAAGACACCAAAGTCAATGACATTCTGGTGGAAAGAGCTGGAGAACTGGAGCATAGAAACAAAACGTCTAGCGCAGAAGGCATCACTGACGTGCAGATTGTGTTGCCTTTCAAACTAGAATGCTTCGGACCTCACATCCAAGAACAGTGCGCGCACTTACCCTGGGGACTTTCGGTTAATTTCTTTGCGTATTTTCGGCATGTCGTAGATGTTCTCCGACTGGATGCAACGATGGTAAAGATCTCACCCGTTTACCTTGTTCTTTTATCCGCGATTTCCTAACATAGCGGTCATGGTTCGGTAGATTTCATTATGAACGAGGCAGAAAGTAAACTTGCAAAGTTTGATGTCCACGCTTACTCCTATTCTGAGTCTACGACCCATCGGTTGTCCATCCAACAAGTCTTGCTCCTTAATTCACTCTCGTTTATTCCGATCATTTCGCTTGCTTTGCTCCTTGAATCTCCCTGGATACTGAGGGATCTTGAGATCCTTCATCTATAAAGTTTCGATTTCTTTCGTGTCTCCGATCCAAATGCGGTGAAACGTTAGCTTATATCACTGTCCGCTTTAGCAGCCTCCATTCGTTCTTGAAGCAGATCAATCATCCATGTGGTGTGAAAACGAAATTGCAAACATCTCTGGCCGACGATATGCAGAGCAGAGTGTATCTGAAGTGCGAATCTGTATGTGAATAGAATTTCCACCCAACGCATGTTTCAAACCTATTGCGAGATTCCCCAGTACAGATGGGGTCATATTATGTGCACATTGTCATCTTCCGTGGTACACTTCATTACAGCGTTTCCATTTCAAACGGTTCTCCGTGACTCGGTTCTCACCAAAATTTAACAGTCCATGAACTAGTCACTTCGAATTTACGAAAAACAATACCTATATATATATATATATATATATGGTTGGCGGCATCTGCTTCCGTATTAGCCTGTCACTGTGGCCAGCCACAGGACGCCTGCGTCTACAAAGGGACAATGGGTGGCTTGCGCTGCACCACCCACAGCTCCAACCACACACCCCATATCCAGTGTAAACCCGAAGGAATAAGACCGAGAGGCATGTGAATGGGAGCCACGTTTCATCAACGGAACCGGCCCACACTCCTTCACAGGCAAACACAAGCACGCTGTATTTGGGGAATCAAGCGCACATAATGCGGTGGCTGGACCGTAGTCCGCTCCACACTGAGTGCATGGAACCACTCTTTGATCCTAACACGGCAACAAGGACCGTACACCCAACCCCTCCGACAACGACCAACTGTCTCGTTGAGCCAGTATGGACGAAGTAGTGGGTAATAGACAGGTAGGCACCTTGTCAACATGCACATCAAGCGCAGCCACACCGGGGATATCAAGCAACAGCCAATCACTTTAGAGAAAGAAAATGAATCGGGAAATGCATATGGAAGCGTGACAAAAGTCTTAAATTAATGAGCTTATGAAATAAGTTGTGAACAGAGGATGCGAAATAACTTCAGGAGGTCAGAAAGAATATTTTTTGCGGAAATGACACAAACACGAAAATGTTATCGAAATTAACTACAATTGGCTTAAGCGACCTGTGCAAGTTTATAGAAGAGCGTACAGGTAGACATTTATTTGAGAAAGAAAAGCATTAGGACAAAATTGGAAACCCACCATCTGAAATAAAGAGACAGCATGCAACACGCGGTTGGTAAATCGAATGCAGCGTACCTACAAACGCTGCGCCGGTTCTGCCTGCGTTCTCTGCAGGATCCGTCGTCGCTTCGGTAGTGGTCCCGAGTGGCCTCGCTCATGGCTCACTACGCCTGCCTGACTCAGGCACTCAAGACCGCATGTGCTACAGCACCATGCGCTCGATGTCGATGGAGTACAACCCATCGGCGCTTGCCGCTTCCGCACTTGCCGCTTCTCTGCATGTATGAGGTCATTCTCCCGCACTTCGGCAACTGCCTTCGTGATTAGACCGCGCCATGCACGCCGATCAACCGCCTTCGTTTCCCATGATCTGCAATCGAGATTAGGACGTGAGAGGCTCACTTTAATCATGTCCTGGTAGCGTAACTTTGGTTTCCCCACGTGCCACTTCCTAATACTCAGCTGACCATATAAGAGTTGCTTCGGTATCCTCGTCGAATCCACACGGCTCACATGACCGAGCCACCTCAGGTGTCTCAGCAGAAGTATGTAGCCCACTACATACATTCCATCTTGTCGCAACACTTCCGTGTCTGCAACTCTGTCGCCCCAACCGATGCGCAAAATCCGTCGCAAGCACTGCTGATGGAACCGCTCGAGGTATCGCACATCCCGACGGTACATCGTCCACGTTTCACTGCCGTATAGAAGAACGGACAGCACCATGGATTTGTACACCATCAGCTTCGTGCCAATGGTAAGCTGATGGTTGTTCCACACTTGGTACTCTAGTTTCCCGAATGCTGCCGCTGCCTTCGACACGCGGATACGACGCTCACTGTGTATCTGGTGATCAGTCGACATCACACTCCCAAGGTCGCCGAAGCGGGAGGTGGTTTCCAATACTTCAGCACCAATGCTGGTTCGCGGCAATATTGAAGATTGCACCTCCGGTGAAGGCTGAAACAGACAGACAGTTTTGTTTGTGGTGATGGTGAGCCCGAATTTGGCCGCTGTCGAAGCCAGAGCACTAGTCATATGCTGCAACTCATCCGCGCTGTGTGAAAACAACGCACAGTCGTCAGCAAACAGCATCATACCGATAGTTGTCTCACAGACTGGAGTTCTCGCACCGAAACGACGGATGTTCAGCAACCCACCATCAATACGGTGCTCCACACCAACAACGTAAGCACAAGCGGCATCAAAAGCACAGGACAACATTGCATGAAGCTATATATTAAACAGCGCAGGAGCTAAGACACAGCCTTGCTTCAAACCAGAGACAACTGCAAAGTCATCTGAGGTCTCTCCACTCAGCTGCACCCTCGCTCGCATACAACTGTGCAGACATTCAATTAAACTTACAAACTTACGCTGGCAACCAAACTTACCCAACACCACTCATAATGCCTCACGGTTCACCATATCAAATGCCTTAATGAAATCAGCGAAAAGCGAGTACAATGTCTGGTGCCGTTCTCTGCACTTCTCCTGCAACTGACGAGCCGCAAACACCATATCTATAGTGCTACGATCCGAACGGAATCCACAATGCTCTTCCGCCACGTTAGGTTCCACAACCTGACTGACGAGGCGGTTGAGCAGGATTCGGGCAATCATCTTGCCCACACAACTCAGCAAGTTGATGCCACGAAAATTCGTGCAACATTGCTTGCTCCCTTTACCCTTGTACAGTGGTAGCACAAGGCCATCCTTCAGCTCAGGAGGCACCTCCTCCTCAATCCATAAGCGTTGCACCAAGTGGTGCAGCTCAGTCAACAACACGGGTCTGACGTGTTTCAATACCGTCGGCTCCGGCACACTTACCGTTTCGCAGCTGTACATGTGCTCTCTGCGTCTCATCCAGTGTTGACGTGTCCGCCAGACTCGTCTTCACATCGCGCTGCTTCACGCAGTTCGATTTTGGCTAGTCGATATCCGAATGGTTGTTCAAGAGACAATCAAAGTGTTTTCGCCAGATCTGCATTATGTCTGCAGTCTGTGTGCAGGTAACGCCTGAATTACCATCGATCAGCGTCCTCAGCGGCTGCAATCTCGGTTCATACGCCACCTTCAAGGAGTCAAAGAATTCCTTGTGTTGGCGGCTTTCGGTGTAGCATTCCATCTGCTTCGCCTTCTTCGTCCACCATGCATTTTTACTGCGACGGAGCTCTCGGGTCAGTCGCCGTCGAAGTTTGCGAAACTGACTCTTCTTCCCTAAGTCACTGGGGTCTGCGACATGTGCAGAAAATGCTGCATTCTTCCCCGCCACCAATGCGCCGATCGTCGCATTGTTCTCATCAAACCAATCAGGCTGCTTACAGTTGGCGCACCCGATGGTCTTTTCGGCAGCAGCTGTCACCTGGTTGCGAATGTGGTGCCACAGGTCGACCACTGTGGCTATGTACTCCACACCACACATTCGTGCAGCCATCGCCTTCTCCAGCTCAGTAAGTTTCACCACAGTACCGAGGGAGAGAACGTTAAATTTACGCCGATTCACGGCGGGAGTGCAATTCATTGATTTACGAAAATATATGTACAGTTTGGTCCGCACCAATTTGTGATCAGTGCCACACTCAGCTCCACGCAGTACACGTGTCATGCGCATATCACGCTGACGTAGGATGACATAGTCGAGCAGGTGAGCGTGACCACTCCGTGAGTGCGTCCAAGTTGCTATATCACTCGCACTCAGTGCAAACCGAGTGTTCGTGATCGTCAGGCCGTGAGTGGCACACAGTGAGAGCAGCCTGTCACCGTTCGCATTCGCTGAACCAATGCCATGCAGGCCGATAACATCTGTCCACACTGATGCATCACGCCCAACGCGCGCGTTGAAATCACCCAGCAGAAATAGTCGGTCGCTCCTCGGCACAGACCGTATCACGGAGGATAGCTGAGTGTAGAATTAATCACGCGTGTCATCAGGATAACACATGGTCGGACCGTACGTGCTTATAAAGGTGGCAAACTTACCTTTTCCCAGTCGTAGGCGAACAGTCACCAGGCGCGCGCTGACACACGTTGATTCACCCACCAGCTGGCCATGGAGGCGATCGG